TGAGATAGTCCATGACACACAAACACTTTTAGTGACTGTGAGAAAGTCCATGACACACAAACACTTTTAGTGACTGTGAAATAGTCCATGACACACACACTTTTAGTGGCTGTGAAATAGTCCATGACACACAAACACTTTTAGTGACTGTGAGAAAGTCCATGACACACAGACACTTTTAGTGACTGTGAAATAGTCCATGACACACAAACACATTTAGTGACTGTGAGAAAGTCCATGACACATAAACACACGTTTCCAGAGACATTCTCAACATGTTACATATTTGCTGGTGTTACACCACAGACTGTTGATGCTGTTTAACCTTACATCTGCTATTGAGTTTCACTCTGACTTGCTTAAAATAATAATACTAATAAAAGTGTAGGGCACCTAACATACGATATTGAATACTTGAATTGTAGTATGTATGAGCCAGACTTGCGGCCCTACTGGAGGATGACTAGGCACGTCAGAATGTTTAGCTTCAAAGTATTTTTTGTTGTTGCTTTTGGCAACACTTTGCTAATGCAGTTTCCACACATGAACAGAAGTATATGGTTTTGCTGCCTAAGCTACTTAATGAGTTAAGTGCCTGGTGCAGCACTGTGAGCTGTGTGTGTGTGTTTTGTTTTGTTTTGGGTGCAGTATGATTTTCATTTGTGCAGTGGGTGTGTTGTATTCAATATGGCCGGTAGCCGGTTTATATGTGGGCTGGCAATGTACCTTATGTAATACCTTTACGTGTGTATAGCCAACTTATCATGGCATGACTACTTCCATCAACAACGACCTGCATTGCTGGTGGCGACTGTTGGCTTTGGCACCTCTAGCAACTGCCATATGCATAAGGAGGCAGAAGAAGAAGATAAAGAGGCAGAAGAAGAAGATAAAGAGGCAGAAGAAGAAGATAAAGAGGCAGAAGAAGAAGATAAAGTGGCAGAAGAAGAAGATGTGAGGACATCACAGCTAGGCTACTGCCTTGTCAGTATGTTCCATATAAATGATCATCAACTGATAGAATTTAGAAAAGCTTGATTCATATGTGTTTCAGTCTCTGCAGTCATGCTCTATCTTAGTAATCTTAGTTTCAGCTTCATAGCAAACGAGTCACCCCATAGTTGCTCCACTCCTGTGCCAACGAAAATCAGACAGAATGTTTGTCGCAGTCCCTTGTGGAAAGATTGACAGACTGCTGTCTCAGCATATGCACTAGCATTCACACGCATTAAAAGCATATGGTAGCCATCAGAAGTGCTAACACAAACAGTTTGACAACAGAAATGCAGTTCATCATCAACGGTAGCAGAAGTCGCCAACAGATCAGCAGTTCACGATCAATATCAATCAAATAAGGGCACCACTAATGTTGCAGTGACAGGCCACTCGCCATTTTCTGAATCTACAGTTCACAACACCATGTTTGTCACAGCTGAAAAATATTCCAAATGAAATCCGCAGCTCACAGGGTCGCGCCATGCACTTAACTCAGTAGCTGGCGCGACGAAACTGTATCCTTTTGGTCTACAAATGGATCAAAAATGCAACGGCCACCGTCCGGCAGAAGCAAAAAATTTACCTCGACGCGAAACGGTAACCGCGCCTGGGATCCATTTTGACCGGAAGCCCCGGTTTGTCCATGCTTTATCTGTGACCAGCAATCAGAGTCAACTAAGACAGAACCCAAATGTTGGCAGCAACCATTACAACGAGACATCATCGCTCATGGACAACAATGTTAGATTTACACATTTTGATTCTGAACACTGATTCATGTTTACAATCTTATAATTACATACATTATTAAGATGTTCAGATTTTCAGTTTTCTTTTAATATGGTTTGATTAACATGCTTTGAAATGTTAGATTCACATGTTTTACAATAATAGATTCACATACATTTTACAAGAATAGATTTACATATGTTTTACATCTAGAACTTTGCTATGCAGATGACAGTCCTCCTTTCAAACAACGTAAAGGGAACAAGCGTTTTTATTATGTCTGTCCAAAAGCACAGAGAAGATAAAAACCTATTCTTGAATTTTAAGAAAACAAAAATAATGTCCAAAGACAAAACTAGCTGTCACCCAAAAATAACAATAAATGATGAAGAAATTGAAAATGTCACAAACTTTGAAAATCTAGGTTCTTTAATAAATAACAATGGAGACTTTGACATAAATTAAAAGGAGGATGGCCATAGCAATGCAAAGATTAAACAGCATCTTTAATTAAAGGTCTATGGTCAAGTATCAGCAAGGAAATCAAAATTAAGATTCTGAGCACATGCATTTTGCCTGTAACAATATACAGATGCGAGCCGTGGACTATCTCCTAGTCTTCAAGACATCAAATAGGGGCTTTTGAGCTGAAATGCTATAGAAAGATTATCAGAATTCCATGGACAATGAACAGGAGAAATACTGACATTATAAAAGATCTGAATGTCAAGGAAGGTTGACTGATAACCAACATCGCGTCTCAGAGACTGAGATATCTTGGACATATCAAGCACCATGATGGATTGAAAAAAAATAATAGCAGAAGGCAGGGTACCAGAAAGGAGGGGCAGGGCCAACCAATACGAAGATGGGCATAGGATATAAGTGATTCATTGAATACGAAAGCACATGAGGTGAGAGAGTTGGTGAGACCGAGCTTCTTTCAGGTAGACCGTGATGAGAGCGACGTTCTGCAAAGGAACTGCTACACGATGATGATGTTTTATAATGTTGGTAATATGTTTTACAATGTAAGATTACACATTTTGCAATGTCTGATTTACAATTTGAAATCAATGTTACCAACAAAAAATAAATTTATATTTGATGTAAATTGACAGTTTAACTACTCAGTCAATGAATTTTAGCAAAGAATAGCAAACTTTCATTAGATGTGAGTTTTCCAATCAGATTTGAACACACTTCCAGCAATACCTGTGTTATGTGTTGTGCTGTTAGGTAGAATGATCTGATCTTATCCTTTGAGGACATGCAGAGGAACCATCAATTTCTGTCTATCAGTCAGATTACCTGAAATAATTCTTCCTTCTCTTGTGAGACCTTATATCCATCCATTTCTGTCTACCAGTCAGATTACATCAAATCATTCTTCTTTCTCTTGCTAGACCTTATATCCATCCATTTCTTTCCATCAGTCAGATTACCTCAAATCATTCTTCCTTCTCTTGTGAGACCTTATATCCATCCATTTCTGTCTACCAGTCAGATTACATCAAATCATTCTTCCTTCTCTTGTGAGACCTTATATCCATCAATTTCTTTCCATCAGTCAGATTACATCAAATCATTCTTCTTTCTCTTGCTAGACCTTATATCCATCCATTTCTTTCCATCAGTCCGATTACCTCAAATCATTCTTCCTTCTCTTGTGAGACCTTATATCCATCCATTTCTGTCTACCAGTCAGATTACATCAAATCATTCTTCCTTTTCTTGCTAGACCTTATATTCATCCATTTCTTTCCATCAGTCAGATTACATCAAATCATTCTTCTTTCTCTTGCTAGACATTATATCCATCCATTTCTTTCCATCAGTCAGATTACATCAAATCATTCTTCGGAATGTTAGTCAGAGAAATCATAAAAAAAGGTCAGGAATACCTGAGTTAACACTCAGACCGAAAATTTGTGGGACTAGACAAGTACACGCAGGTGAGGCTAGGGTCAGTATCAGCTGAGTTAAGCCCCAGGAATAACCGGCGGTATATCCAACTATCTTTAGATGCACGGAGAGCTCAGACTCATGGAATGAACTTGGGCAGGTCTCATGGATTGGGGGACATAATTTATCGAGGAGAAAAAGGTTCACTACAGTAGTTAAGAGGAAATATCCTACTGTGCAGATGTGTATTTTCTCATCAGTATTCTGATTCACGACTGTGTGTCAGGGAGACTCAGGAATAGTCTCTAGTCAGTTCGGTATTCTGATTCATGACTGTGTGTCAGGGAGACTCAGGAATAGTTTCTAGTCAGTTCGGTATTCTGATTCACGACTGTGTGTCAGGGAGACTCAGGAATAGTCTCTAGTCAGTTCGGTATTCTGATTCATGACTGTGTGTCAGGGAGACTCAGGAATAGTTTCTAGTCAGTTCGGTATTCTGATTCATGACTGTGTGTCAGGGAGACTCAGGAATAGTCTCTAGTCAGTTCGGTATTCTGATTCATGACTGTGTGTCAGGGAGACTCAGGAATAGTTTCTAGTCAGTTCGGTATTCTGATTCATGACTGTGTGTCAGGGAGACTCAGGAATAGTTTCTAGTCAGTTCGGTATTCTGATTCATGACTGTGTGTCAGGGAGACTCAGGAATAGTTTCTAGTCAGTTCGGTATTCTGACTCATGACTGTGTCAGGGAGACTTAGTGAAATGGTCAGTCTGTAGTCAGTTCAATATGCATAGGCCTGTTTAATGCAATGTATTATTCACGGCAAGGCCTAGTAGGTTTAAGTGGAAAATGACCATTCCTACTGCTAGCCCTAGTGTGAGTGGCTAGCCGGTTGTCATAGGCATGGAGGCGGCAATAGCCCGTAGATCCAGGAACGGCAGCAAGATTGTATCTGCGTTCCAGAGCGCCACTTGTAATTCATGTGAAGGATGCAGAGCCTTTTGTGTTTATGTGAGCTCTTGAATGCCATCAGCAAGATGTAGTTGTGTTATCTTGTACTAGGTGTTGTTACATTCTTATTTGTGTGTGATGGTGTGCACCAACGTTCTGTCAAATAAGCATACTGTATGGTGAGCAGAGTGTTTGTCATTCTGGGCCAACTGTGGTGCACCTTGTGTTTGTGAACGTCAATTACCACCACTAGATACCTGGGCTGCAGGTGCTGTGAAGGTGGACTTTGTTGCTGTGAAGTTGTATCCGGAACCGAGAGGGTACTTGGTTGGTAGCAGCACAAGTCTGGCCTCATCACTTGTAGCAAAACAACAATAGCTAAACAAAATGACAAAACCTGAAAAAAACAAAAACACATTCAAGAGACCTCCTGCAGCTGTACTAAATGGATGATCTTGCGGACTGTTTCCTTGATCTGGCAACTACTTTCCTGTAGAGCTAGTGCCTGTAGTTGAGCCAGTCCACCAGAAGCCACAAATGACATCATTCCCTGGAAAACAGCAAAATATTCATGTTTATTAAGTTCCAGTGTTTCATCAACCCAAACAAGGTCAATATGTGCCCAAGCATTTTCAAAGTAGGGGCGTGGTTTCAGACATTGTCACTGGGTCTACAAAATCCATGTGTTTGTGTGTATGTATGTATATACAATGTAAAACACAGGTAAAATCCAAGTGTCTGTCGAAAAACTTGCAATTACACTGACTCCTCCCAAACGATGATGTGTAGATGGGTTAAACTTACATCTAACATTCTGGCTAGTCTTTACAAAAAGTGTAATGTTTTGCTGTAATTGATCCTGGGCGATACCGGAAAATTTAATCTATCTTATACACACACACACACACACACATACATATATATATATATATATATATATATATATATATATATATATATATATATATATATATATATATATATATATATATATATATATATATATATATATATATATATATATATATATATATAAAATATGGGATCTTAAGATGCAAAAAAGTCAATCTTGTAACTATATCAATCTTCTAACTATAAAACATCTTTTAAATGAAATGATATGAAAAGTTCTTTGTTTGTTCTATACTTGCTGCTCCCTCTCTGAGTGATTCACTTCTGTCTCTCTCTGTCTACAAGAGAGATTCACTTCTGTTTGTCTCTGTCTACATGCGAGATTCACTTCTGTCTCTCTCTGTCTACAAGAGAGATTCACTTCTGTTTTTCTCTGTCTACAAGAGAGATTCACTTCTGTCTCTCTCTGTCTACAAGAGAGATTCACTTCCGTCTCTCTCTCTCTCTGTCTACAAGAGAGATTCACTTCTGTCTGTCTCTGTCTACAAGAGAGATTCACTTCTGTTTGTGTCTACAAGAAAGATTCACTTCTGTTTGTCTCTGTGTAAATGAGAGATTCACTTCTGTCTGTCTCTGTCTACAAGAGAGATTCACTTCTGTTTGTCTCTGTCTACACGAGAGATTCACTTCTGTCTCTCTCTGTCTACATGAGAGATTCACTTCTGTCTCCCTCTGTCTACAAGATAGATTCACTTCTGTCTCTCTTTATCTACAAGAGAGATTCACTTCTGTTTGTCTCTGTCTACATGAGAGATTCACTTCTGTCTCTCTCTGTCTACAAGATAGATTCACTTCTGTCTCTCTTTATCTACAAGAGAGATTCACTTCTGTTTGTCTCTGTCTACATGAGAGATTCACTTGTCTCTCTGTCTAAAAGAATTCTCCAAAAGTTTATTCTTTTTCTCTCATTTCATTTCTCTATGGAAGACAGGCCCTCAAATGCCTCCCTCCAAACTGTTGGTATATTTCTATGGCATGAGGCAGACAGGGCCATCACAAACACGTACCGTGTTGATAAGTGTGGCTAGCCATAGACTTTCAACTCATATGATCACCACAGTCTCCAATCAAACCTATGTTCTTGTCCTGCTTATATCAATCACATGGCTAAGTCCTCTGGGAATTTTTTACTTGTCTTGTCCTCTTGTTTTGTTGTTGTTATCTCATAAAATTTCCAGCTGTCAGTAAATTTTCAGGGACATTTCTCCTCATAAAATGCCTACTTAATCTTGACTATGTTTAATTTCTCTAATCACTTGACAGACTTGCTCTATTTCTAAATTACTAACACAGAAAATACATTAAAACCTTGTTAACACAAATTCCAAGGGATTCAATGAATTAAAAAATAATTGTGTGCTAACTAGGGACTACTAATGAACACATCCTTGCTGGGACTAACATTGTGTTCATGTTAACTGAGTTTTCTACTGAACTGAATTCACGTTAATAAGGTTTTACTGTATATATTTGATAAATTATAGAACAGAAGAGAAAAATACAAACTGAAAAGTGTAGTCATTAAGGCTGTAAAGATAATTATGACCAAAAGTAAAATATTGGGCAAACAGAGAAAAGAAGAAAACAAGTTAAGGTCAAAGTAAAGGTAAATTCGGGTGATGTGACCCAACCAGTGCCACAGAAAATGGTTATAAACTATAAGTGCTCTGCCACCAGTACAGACAGCTGATAAGAAACTGTCCGCCTGTGTCGCTGTCTGCAAGCAACTTCATAGCTACAGTGACGTTCCTCCATTTACCCCAGAATGTTAACTCTGGTACCCATTACCTAGAGGCTGAGAGAACCCCTGCAACCGCCCAGCTTAGAACACCGGCTGTGGGCTGCAGCGAGTGGCAGCTGGATTTGAAATTGGGCCTCCTATCAACTGTGCCAACGCCCCCGAAGAAGAAGAAAACAGAGCATAATGACATCACATACCTGCTCGGTTGCCGAAACAAAGTCAACCAGAATGTCTAGTGCTGCCTCCACAATGTTCAGCTTTGGATCAGCCAGCAAGGAAACCAGTAAACTCACGGCCTGGTGTTTAACCAGGAACTGACACATCCATGCAGACACTTTTGATGAGGCACCCAATAGATACAAGGCCTACAGTTGGTGAAAATACATGTTTGTGAAAATACACTTTTGTGAAAATACATGCTTGTGAAAATACATGTTTATAAAAATACATGTTTGTGAATATAAAGGTCTGGGAAAATATATGTCAGTCAAAATACACGTCAGTAAAAAAACATGACAGTTAAAAATATGTGAGTGAAAATATATGTGAGTAAAAATACAAGTCACTGAAAAATATGTGAGTGAAAATATGTCAGTCAAAATACACATTAGTAAAAAAATATGTCAGTCAAAATACATGTCAGTGAAAAATATGTGAGTGAAAATATATGTCAGTCAAAATACACGTCAGTGAAAATATATGTCAGTCAAAATACACATTAGTAAAAAATATGTGAGTGAAAATATGTCAGTCAAAATACATGTCAGTGAAAAATATGTGAGTGTAAATATATGTCAGTCAAAATACATGTCAGTGAAAATATATGTCAGTCAAAATACATGTCAGTGAAAAATATGTGAGTGAAAATATGTCAGTCAAAATACATGTCAGTGAAAAATATATGAGTGAAAATATGTCAGTCAAAATACATGTCAGTGGAAATATATGTCAGTCAAAATACACGTCAGTGAAAAATATGTCAGTGAAAATATGTGTCAAATCTTAATCTTCTTCACGTTCACCTACTTTTTTTTTTTTTTTTCAATCGAACACCGGCTGTGAATTCCAGTGGTAGGTCAGGTAATCGTCGGCTTGGACTTTTGGCTTTCACCTGGACCTGATTTTTGCGTGTACAACCGTTTTTCATTTCCCTGCCTCATGGGCAGCTGTACGCCGACTTCGAAGGAAGACGTCAGGCCTATTTCTAGGGTGACTGTGGCCATTGTTTTGTGTGGGTCGAGACGTTGCCTGATTTGTGTGGTGTCTACATTGTCTCCTTTGCCGCAGGTATTGCCCCAGGAGTACCCCTTTGGGTCAGCCCCCTGTGGAGCAGTTAGCCCTCAAGGGAAGGCAGGGGCAGATCATGGGCATTCCCCGCCATCCAAGGAGGCATCCATGTATGCAGAGCCGGCACATGGCGCTCTGGTTCTGGGCTCACCCAAGGAATCGTCACGTCCTGCACATGCCTGCTTAACCTCACAACCGTATCAGGCCTCCCGCTCGACAGGGGCTGCGCCCTCTGGAAGTCAGCGGGGAGCAGCCCGTGGGTTTTGGACTTTTGTGACCACACAGATAGGTACATTCTTTTTTTCTTCGCACGTTAGATTTCTTTGACGAGCCGTTAGCCCGACAGAATTTTACATCCTGCTCCAGGCATATCGTATCAGTTTTGTCCCAACACTCGGGCGAGTGGGGTCTTTGGGTGTGAACATTCGGTCTTTTTCAGTTCAATACAAATTTTGAGGGCAGATTTTTGATCCGTATGATCTAGTTTTGTCGGACATTTAGGCTTAGCCATCCGATGGATGGTTGCTGTTATGATGTACCACAGCGCGGTGACGACGACACTGAGGGTTAACCAAGGATGTACATGAATGGCCAGCCTATGGATGGTTGCTGTTGTGGTGTACCCCAGCGCGGTGACGACGACACTGAGGGTTAACCGAGGATGTACATGAATGGCCAGCCTATGGATGGTTGCTGTTGTGGTGTACCCCAGCGCGGTGACGACGACACTGAGGGTTAACCGAGGATGTACATGAATGGCCAGCCTATGGATGGTTGCTGTTATGGTGTACCTCAGCGCGGTGACGACGACACTGAGGGTTAACAGAGGATGTGCAGTGAACAATGTTCTCTTTACTTCGCAGTCTTTTAACCAAGGGTTGTAATTTTGGCTGTACGTTTGGCAGACCTACTCATGTTCCTAATGAGTTATAATAACATTTTTCACCCAAGCGTTTGGGGGCGGGCTGATGAGAGCCACAAGGACACATCATCTCTGGGGGCCGCCAAACTCCGAGATCCCCTGACAGCTCTGTTAATGCTCATTTGAGACATTATCCGTGGCGCACGACGAGGACGTGCTGCCGGGGTCTTGCGTGAGGTTCCCTACAACCAGGATATTAAAGGACTGGCGCCCGAGTGACGTACGGAGTATCTCCTTATACACATCATGTTGGACTTAACTTCCCCTCACGCCTGTGACATAAATCACCGCGCCACGTTCACCTACTTTAAAATCCGGCAAAAAGTTATGGTTGTTCGTCCCCTTCTGAAACTAAGTGTTGCATGCACAGGCATCTCACAGGACTCACTTGCATGCAGACTGTTGGTTCCTTGCCTCTCAAGGAGATATACTCAGACTTTGAAGGAAGCTCTCATTTAGACAACTCTTATGACATGCTTTTGGGCAGGCAGTGGGTCTATTCTTGTTTTCTTCACAATGAGGCCCCAGAACCCACACAGGGAATATATGTCAGTCAAAATACATGTAAGGGAAAATACATGTCAGTGAAAAATACATCTTAGTTAAAATACATGTAAGGGAAAATACATGTCTGTGAAAAATACATGTCAGTCAAAATACATGTAAGGGAAAATACATGTCAGTGAAAAATACATCTCAGTCAAAATACATGTCAGTGAAAAATACATCTTAGTTAAAATACATGTAAGGGAAAATACATGTCTGTGAAAAATACATGTCAGTCAAAATACATGTAAGGGAAAATACATGTCAGTGAAAAATACATCTCAGTCAAAATACATGTAAGGGAAAATACATGTCAGTGAAAAATACATCTCAGTCAAAATACATGTCTGTGGAAAATACATGTCAGTGAAAAATACATCTCAGTCAAAATACATGTAAGGGAAAATACATGTCAGTGAAAAATACATCTTAGTTAAAATACATGTAAGGGAAAATACATGTCAGTGAAAAATACATGTCTGTGAAAAATACATCTCAGTCAAAATACATGTCTGTGAAAAATACATCTCAGTCAAAATACATGTAAGGGAAAATACATGTCAGTGAAAAATACATCTTAGTTAAAATACATGTAAGGGAAAATACATGTCAGTGAAAAATACATGTCTGTGAAAAATACATCTCAGTCAAAATACATGTAAGGGAAAATACATGTCAGTGAAAAATACATCTTAGTTAAAATACATGTAAGGGAAAATACATGTCAGTGAAAAATACATGTCTGTGAAAAATACATCTCAGTCAAAATACATGTAAGGGAAAATACATGTCAGTGAAAAATACATCTCAGTCAAAATACATGTAAGGGAAAATACATGTCAGTGAAAAATACATCTTAGTTAAAATACATGTAAGGGAAAATACATGTCAGTGAAAAATACATCTTAGTTAAAATACATGTAAGGGAAAATACATGTCAGTGAAAAATACATCTTAGTTAAAATACATGTAAGGGAAAATACATGTCAGTGAAAAATACATGTCTGTGAAAAATACATCTCAGTCAAAATACATGTAAGGGAAAATACATGTCAGTGAAAAATACATCTTAGTTAAAATACATGTAAGGGAAAATACATGTCAGTGAAAAATACATGTCTGTGAAAAATACATCTCAGTCAAAATACATGTAAGGGAAAATACATGTCAGTGAAAAATACATCTCAGTCAAAATACATGTAAGGGAAAATACATGTCAGTGAAAAATACATCTCAGTCAAAATACATGTAAGGGAAAATACATGTCAGTGAAAAATACATCTCAGTCAAAATACATGTAAGGGAAAATACATGTCAGTGAAAAATACATCTCAGTCAAAATACATGTAAGGGAAAATACATGTCAGTGAAAAATACATCTCAGTCAAAATACATGTAAGGGAAAATACATGTCAGTGAAAAATACATCTCAGTCAAAATACATGTCTGTGAAAAATACATGTCTGTGAAAAATACATCTTAGTTAAAATACATGTCTTGAAAATACATGTAAGGGAAAACACATGCTAGTGAAAATATATGTTTGTAAAAATACAAGTTTGTGGAAATACATGTCTGTAAAAATACATGTTTAGAAATGACAAAATACAGAGGGGCCTAGAGTGAGGTACCCAGGGACCAAATCTCAAACTATGGATAAAGTGAACAGAATGATGAATTAAGAAATGACATCACAGTACATGGGTCACTCCCATAAGTGGTCCATCCCCATCTTCAGCAGCAAAGTGAACAGAAGAAGTATATAAGAAAAACACATTTGACATTTGCTTGAGAATATAATTGCAATGACAGACAGATACTCACATTAAATGCCATGCTCTCATCACTGGACCGACACAGTTGAAAGACTATGTTGAGAAAACAAGCCTGACACATGACCAGCACACGACAACTTGGCTCAGCTGGGGAGGCAGGTAGACCAACTTTATTCTCATAAATAGACAAAAGCTGTCACAGCACTTGCATTATCACTGTATCCTTAGTCACCTCACAGCACTTGCAGTATCACTGTATCCTTAGTCACCTCACAGCACTTGCAGTATCACTGTATCCTTAGTCACCTCACAGCACTTGCATTATCACTGTATCCTTAGTCACCTCACAGCACTTGCAGTATCACTGTATCCTTAGTCACCTCACAGCACTTACAGTATCACTGTATCCTTAGTCACCTCACAGCACTTGCATTATCACTGTATCCTTAGTCACCTCACAGCACTTGCATTATCACTGTATCCTTAGTCACCTCACAGCACTTGCAGTATCACTGTATCCTTAGTCACCTCACAGCACTTGCAGTATCACTGTATCCTTAGTCACCTCACAGCACTTTCATTTTCACTGTATCCTATGTCACGTCTGATGTCATGTATAACAGTACACAGTCTCTGTTTAGTCACATTTGATGTCATGTATAGTGATACAGTCTCTGTTTAGTCACATCTGATGCCATGTATAGCAGTACACTATCTCTGTTTAGTCACATCTGATTTCATGTATAGCAGTACACAGTCTCTGTTTAGTCATATCTGATGTCATGTATAGCAGTCAAGTCTCTGTTTAGTCATATCTGATGTCATGTATAGCGGTATACAGTCTCTGTTTAGTCACATCTGATGTCATGTGCAGCAGTACATAGTCTCTGTTTAGTCATATCTGATGTCATGTATAGCGGTACAGTCTTTGTTTAAGCACATCTGATGCCATGTATAGCAGTACACAGTCTCTGTTTAAGCACATCTGATGCTATGTATAGCAGTACAAGTCTCTGTTTAGTCATATCTGATGTCATGTATAGCGGTACAAGTCTGTTTAGTCACATCTGATGTCATGTATAGCAGTACAGTCTCTGTTTAAGCACATCTGATGTCATGTACAACTGTACAGTCTCTGTTTAAGCACATCTGATGTCATGTATAGTGGTACACACTCTCTGTTTAAGCACATCTGATGTCATGTATAGCAGTACAGTCTCTGTTTAAGCACATCCGATGTCATGTATAGCAGTACACTCTCTCTGTTTAGTCACATTTGATGCCATATGTAGCAGTACACCGTCTCTGTTTAGCCACATCTGATGTCACATATAGTGGTACACACTCTCTGTTTAGTCAGGCCTGATGTCATAAATAGCGGTATACACTCTCTGTTTAGTCAGGCCTGATGTCATGTATAGCAGTATAACGTCTCTGTTTAGTCAATCTGATGTCATAAATAGCCGTACACACTCTCTGTTTAGTCAGGCCTGATGTCATGTATAGCAGTATAACATCTCTGTTTAGTCACATCTGATGTGATGTATAGCCGTATATAGTCTCTGTTTAGTTACATCTGGTGTCGTGTATAGCCTGTTTAATCATATATGACACCATGTTTACTAGTATATGTTGTTTGTCCATCACAAGTGATGACCATTTTTCATCCAAAGTAGCAATGATCAATGATTATGAGTACATGGTGGCTGATTAGTCCAATATGAGCCTGGAAAGTTCTTGAGCAGTGCGAACAACAGGTGGAAGCAGCAGTAAGTGTGGAAATAGCGATAGAGTTCTTTCTAGTCTACCTCAGTTTCTCTGCCTGTGCAACCTCCGCTGCCTAACAGGCCGATTGTCACAGCCCAGTGAGTACAGTCATGGGGCGGAATGGACCACACAGTAGGGTGTACTGTGTTCAGATGACACCCCCAGGGTTGACACAAAGGTCAGTGGTATGACTGGCCAAGTCTGTGCTGTTTGCACGGTGAAACTATCGCTCAGAGGTCTGTGACACCGATGCACCATGCCTGTGGGATATACGCCATCAAGTTAGTGATGTGCAGCAGCCTCCCACGTCACTGTGTTGATGCCAACAAAATTGAGAACAGTTCTGAGAATGTTTTTATAGCACTTTTTCTGTCCTCACTAGGGCCTATCTCTTGCTGGAGCTCACCATAAAATACTCCCTTTGGGAGGCAAAAGTCTGGCATGCGGGCTAGGGGACCAGCCCAAGTAGTATTAGTACACAAGTACTACTAGTATACAGTATTGATATTATGGCGCCGGTAACATACAAACAAAACTTTATGTTATTTACCCATAAAATTTACCAAAATCCACAAGGCTTCCTTCTGTATGAATTCGGTGTTGCTTGTGAGACAAGAGAAGACTGTGGGTAGGAAGTTGGAGTTGTCACTAGCTGCCAGAGCTATGTCAGGATCCAAACCTATCATATTTCCTAGGCCATGCAGATAGGGCAGAACTACCTGGGAGAAAACACAGATGAAAGTATTTAACCCTGGGAAAAACACACATGAAAGTATTTAACCCAGGGGAAAACACTACATACACGATTTAACCTGGAGCTAAATACTACTTACAAATATTTAACTTGGGAAAATGAATAGTGATTAGTGAGGACTATCATCACAGCACTCCGGACAGATCCACAGATGCTCCGGTCTCCTCCTCAGTAGCTGTACACCCACTACTTTCCCCCTTGATAGTCCAGTTTCCTAGAAACAATTTTACTTGTACAAAAACATATCTCAGTTTTTGTGTGTGTGTGTAAACAATTGGAGAATTTCGGGAGCCGTGTTAGTGTAGTCGATACGAGGCTCGCTTTCAAATCCAGCTGCGACTCACTGCAGCCAGGGTCGGTGTGGGTACCAGAGTTAACACTCTGGGGTAAATGGAGGAACGTCGCTGTAGCCACAGAGTTGCGTGCAGACGGCGACACAGGCGGACAGTTTTTTATCAGCTGTCCATACTTGAGGCAGAGCACTTATGGTTTATAACCGTGTGCAATGATGCTGGTTCACATCTTCCGACTTTACCTTTTAATTGGAGAAAAGCATTTCCTCTTTTATATTACCTATATCCACAAATCAACAATATATTAACAACTGACAACAGTGAGCCAAACCAACAATATGTCAACAACTGACAACAGTGAGCCAAATCAACAATATTTTAACACTGACAACAGTGAGCCATATCAACAATATTTTAACACTGACAACAGTGAGCCATATCAACAATATTTTAACACTGACAACAGTGAGCCATATCAACAATATTTTAACACTGACAACAGTGAGCCATATCAGTGGTTTCATCACACTGGATTTAAAAAAAAAAAGGTGACATTTTCATCTTTCCCGTAACTTGTCTTCCACAGGGTCATCTATAGTACGCTTCACGGTTCTACCAGAAAGAGATATTTGTGATAACTGTTTATGACTTTTCTCATCCAAAACAACATTAGCAGCTAACAAAATGCAAGGCTTAACCAGTGTTTCTTTAACTCTATGAGTTTTAATCGCTGAGCCGGGAATGCAGAGCAGGTGCCACGGAGGTGGAAATTGAGCAATTAATTCAAGATAATGCTCGCTCAGAGGATTTGATCAATTACCTAGACAGTTCAGTGTCAAAAGGCAAAAGAAGTGCTTGGGGCTTCTTAGCAAAAGTTAATGGTCGACGTTTGGTGCATATGACACCACAACATCCAGCTTAAGAATGGAGGTGGAGGCGGTCACTGCAGCTTTCTGCTGGCTAGAGAACACGACACACACACATATCGTGATTGTAACTGATTCAGAAAGCATGCTGAGGAAGATCAGAACAGGTATGCTTCGTGCAGAGTGGCATGCTTCGCTGCGGAGGACACGAGTGAGGAGGATTGTCTGGATTTTTTCACCGGGTGACGCCGGTGTGTTGGGAAATGAACAGGCAGACAGACTGGCTGGCTCTGCACAACTTGGTGGAATACTGATACATGATAGGGCAGACGTGGTTAGTGCCTTGTGGGAGAGCGTGTACAATTCGGAGGAGCAATTGGATCACCACAGTCTGATGAGATTGATGCAGTTGGGGGTGACAAGAGATTCTGGCAGAAGCTCGAGCCTCAGAGGAAAGGCAAGATGGACGTTTAATCAGAAGGCTACTGGCACCATCAGTATCAGAACTCTTCGCTGGCTGCTGAAAACGGGGACAGAGTGCTTATGGGAATGCCCCAAGAGCTGTGATGTCAGTTCTTGAATCAAATCAAATCAAAAGCCTTGATATTCTGTTGACTGAAAGTACCTGCTGAATCCAATGTTCTCTGCGTTAGGATGTCTAGTTTATAAACAACATATTCTGTAGGTTTATTGATGAATGGATGTAGTGTCATTGAATGCCCGTCCAAACGTAGAGGTCTCATCACATCATTAGTGCCAACACAAGAGCAGACAAACACTGAGTTTGTTCCCTGGCGTTACTGTCTGACACTGTAAGACCGAACTTAATATAGTCAGCCATCTTTGTACAATCCTTGCTTTGGCACAGACATTATTATTTTATTCAAGAATTCAACACAATTTTTGAAAAAAATAAAATTCGCAAAATGGTATGGCAGATGGTCTAAGTGTTGTCTTGTAAAATGTGCAGTACAAATGTGCTATCAGCAACATGATCAAATAGAAAGTACAGAAAAACAATGTGCAGTACAAATGTGCTATCAGCAACACGATCAAATAGAAAGTACTGAGAAACAATGTGCAGTACAAATGTGCCATCAGCAACACGATCAAATAGAAAGTACAGAGAAACAATGTGCTAAAAATGTCTTCTTAAATGCATATGTTATCATATTAATTTTATTTTAAACAAACAGATCTACAGACCGCTCATGAAAAAAGTGCTCTGCTATTTCTTTTATAAATAAGTTTTAAAAATACTTGATTTATAGCTACATTAAAAAAAAAAAAAGGTAAGCATAATGGATTATTACAAGTACAAATGCACTGGAAAACACTGGCCCCATCTCCGCTGCCACGGTAACAGAGGCTGACCTGAGCAGGAGACAGAAATATTCTGAGGCTTATTTATGAATTCCTGTCTTCTGCCTCTGACTGGAGCAGAGGCCTTCAACCAAGTAACATCAAGCCAAACTGCAGACAAGAAGCAGGCTTACCTTCTCTTGTTGAACCCTGCTCTCCAGCTGGATCACCTGGGACAGTTTGGCTACAACAGACTTCAGGATGCGGTGGAACTGGTCCGCATGCTCTATAAAGCTCTCTTTCCTGCAGGAACACAAAGTGAACAAAGGGGACAGATTGACCAGTCTCTCTTTTTTCTTCTTTTTAAAGTACACCTTACAGGTCAACAAGTCAAGTAGTTATTTGTTTGTAAAGATATCAATTTATGTACTGTTAATATTCTATGTCAACATATCAAAATATGTCCTGTTATTATTCCATGTCAACATATCAATATACGTCCTGTTATTATTCCATGTCAACATATCAATAAATATATTGTTATTATTCCCTGTCAACATATGAATATACGTCCTGTTATTATACCCTGTCAACATTTGAATATATGTCCTGTTATTATTCCATGTCAACATATCAAAATACGTCCTTTTATTATTCCATGTCAACATATCAAAATACGTCCAGTTATTATTCCCTGTCAACATATAAATATATGTCCTGTTATTATTCCTTGTCAACATATCAAAATACGTCCTGTTATTATACCCTGTCAACATATGAATATACGTCCTGTTATTATTCCATGTCAACATATCAAAATACATCCTGTTATTATTCCCTGTCAACATATGAATATACGTCTTGTTATTATTCCATGTCAACATATGAATATACGTACTGTTAATATTCCATGTCATGTTATAAGGGTTTCCAGAATCTTTTCTGGCTGCTTCTATGCCTTTTTACCCATTAATCTGTCCACTTGTAATTATGATTATACCAGCATGTGATTCAATAAATGTCATTAGATTCATGTGTTTTTACCCTATGTATGTATTATTATGCCCATATGTGATTAAATATAAGTTCCAGTGTGTGTGATTCAATGTGTAATTATACTAGTGTCACTTCATGAAAATTAACTAACAAATCATTTTATGCTTGAATACAAGATGAGGGAGTGAGCAGAGAAGAATAAAAAATAATTCTAATCAACAAAGATATGTGCAAACACTCTACCTGGAGTAAATAAAGTTGGTTAAACAGCCAATCTCAAAGCACAGGTCACTAGCTGCATCCACTGTTTGAAGTAACAGATTCAGGTGAGTAAAAATGCAGTGATCCAGCATACATCTGAGGAACAAAAAAGATGTAGTAGCGTCAGCCATTCTGTCACTAAATGTATATCAGATTTTATACTTGAAAAAAAAAGGAAAAAATGCATCAAATTCTCCATTTTTACATGATTACCTTCCCCCTTGTTTTTATCCCCCACACACACATGCATCACCTTCAACAATAACCCTCTTCAAGCTCTCAGTAGATCTGTCCATGGCTAATCTTAGAAAATCAAGTTATCTCCAATATGAGACAGCCAGCCTCGTGTCAACCCTCTGCTGCCTCTTATGACATGCATGGCAGGAATGACTATTGTGTGCTGAGCTCATAGGTCCTGTAGCACATAGGTGAAAACATCAGGGCTCCTAGCCAAATTCATCAACATCTTTCAAGGGTTTTTTAAAAACATATTTTTGACTTCTTCAAGGATGAGGCAGGCACATGCAGTACTATGTGCAAAAACAAACACACACAATAGATATAGACAAATATATCTTTTTTTACACTGAATTCTAACAATAAATAAAGGATCCCATTAATTGCTGTTACACAGAATGGTTAAAAAAAAAGTTAAGATATGCTCCACAGAATGTTAGATGTCGAATTTATGAGAGATGTTCAATGACTTCTCTCCAGTTGCGCTCTCTCTAACTCAGTGGCCTCCAACATTCTTCAGGTGGTGCCCCCTTGAGTTTATGATCCCCTCCCCCATTTACAAAATGTGATGAAAAAGAGGAGGAAAAAACAAGAAAAATACCAAGTACAGTTAACAAGAAAAACACACAGGTAATTCAAAGTGTCAAATAACAAAAGAAGCAACTACCAACAACTAGTAATTTAAAGTCCAAATATCAATGTGATGGCTGACACTGTTTGTCTTGATTTTTGGTCTGATGTTAGATAAGGCACAAACAAGATCACTCTCCACATCAAGCTGGCAGCTCTGTTTTGTTTTCATGACTGTTACAGCTGAAAATACGGATACTTACAAGTACAGATGAACTAATTTTCAAAACTGTTTGATGCTCCCGACTTAAAACTTTCTCATATGCCCATACAGCCTGGTTGGAGACCACTGTTCTAACTAATGGATGTGATTGTAAACTTCCTCATGTGCCCCAACACCCCAGTTGGAGACCACTGTTCTAACTAATGGATGTGATTGTAAACTTCCTCATATGCCCCAACAGCCCAGTTGGAGATCACTGTTCTAACTAATGGATGTGATTGTAAACTTCCTCATATGCCCAGACACCCCAGTTGGAGACCACTGTTCTAACTAATGGATGTGATTGTAAACTTCCTCATGTGCCCCGACTGCCCTGTTGGAGATCACTGTTCTAACTAATGGATGTGATTGTAAACTTCCTCATGTGCCCCGACAGCCCTGTTGGAGACCACTGTTTTATCTAATGGATGTGATTGTAAACTTCCTCATGTGCCCCGACTGCCCTGTTGGAGATCACTGTTTTATCTAATAGATGTGATTGTAAACTTCCTCATGTGCCCCGACACCCCAGTTGGAGACCACTGTTCTAACTAATGGAGGTGATCATAAACTTCCTCATGTGCCCTGACAGCCCGGTTGGAAACCACTGCTCTAACTAATGGATGTGATTGTAAACTACCTGATGTGCCCCAACAGCCTGGTTGGAAACCACTGCTCTAACTAATGGATGTGATTGTAAACTGCCTCATGTGCCCCAACAGCCTGGTTGGAGACCACTGTTCTAACTAATGGATGTGATTGTAAACTACCTGATGCAGACATAGTCATCTCTGGCCAGGTTACTGAGAGCAAACAGCACACTCTGTGACCTTGCTTCAAAGGTCAGGTAATTCGGCTAAGGAGAAACAGAAAGACGGCCTTAATTGTCAGCTGTTTAAGATTATGAATCATTCATTTTGATACTACCCTATCAAAAAACTGTGAGAACACGACCTTGATTAAATCTAAAACATAGGGTCTTAAACTGCTCTTACTATACCACTTGTTTCAGCTGTGTATGGCAAGGGAAGCATTTTCATGGTTAGGACAGTTGCTACAAACTGTGAAGGTAAAGCGTTTACTTTATCTGAATCTAAACTTAAAAGACTGACGAAAAGAGGAGACTGAAAAAAAAAAAAAAACAAGACCAACTTTTTTCTCAACAAATCAAAAGCTGATGTTGGCGACAAATGGAACAGATGAGAGCAGTTTGCTAATCAAGTCTGATGGTGTCACATTTTTTTTAAACAGTTGCTGACCAAATCTGATAGGTCTCGTAAAAAAAAAAGATGGACAAGAGAATTACAGACACAGATCCCCCCGTGTGGGTCTTGGGGCCCCATTGTAGGGGAAAACAAGAATAGACCCACTGCCTCCCCAAAAGCATGTCGTAAGAGTCGACTAATTGGGGAGCTTCCTTTGAAGTCGGAGTGCATCTGCCGGAGAGGCAAGGAACCAACAGTCTGTATTCAAGACAATGAGATCTGTAAAACTGATGCACACGCAACACTTAGGTTCTGGAGCAGGACTGCAGTTCAGTAGTGGACGAGCAACCAGAACTTTCCGCCAGAGTGTACAGCTGGTGAACACGAAGAAGAAGAAGAAGAAGACAGACAGAGATGAACAATGGAAACAAGATGGAGGGAGGTATAGACAGTAACAGATAGGATGAGGGTCTATGCTCCACTGGGGGGATAACAGGCAGGAGAAGAAGAAACAAAATGTTACAAAGGAGACAGGTAAACATGTTAACAGCATAATAACAAAACAATAATGTAATATATAGCTGATAAATAGATCATAATGTTGCTATGTCTACCTTCCTAGCACGTATGCAGCATAAAAACAAAACAATCATGTAACATATAGCTGGTAAATAGATCACAGAGCAATGATGCTATGTCTACCTTCCCTAGCACGTATGCAGCATAAAAACAAAACAATCATGTAACATATAGCTGGTAAATAGATCACAGAGCAATGATGCTATGTCTACCTTCCCTAGCACGTATGCAGCATAAAAACAAAACAATCATGTAACATATAGCTGGTAAATAGATCACAGAGCAATGATGCTATGTCTACCTTTACTAGCACGTATGCAGCATAAAAACAAACAATCATGTAACATATAGCTGGTAAAATAGATCACAGAGCAATGATGCTATGTCTACCTTCCCTAGCACGTATGCAGCATAAAAACAAAACAATCATGTAACATATAGCTGGTAAATAGATCACAGAGCAATGATGCTATGTCTACCTTCCCTAGCACGTATGCAGCATAAAAACAAAACAATCATGTAACATATAGCTGGTAAATAGATCACAGAGCAATGATGCTATGTCTACCTTCCCTAGCACGTATGCAGCATAAAAACAAAACAATCATGTAACATATAGCTGGTAAATAGATCACAGAGCAATGATGCTATGTCTACCTTCCTAGCCATTTAAAATCAAGGATTCAAAATTATTATCATAAAGGAGATTTGCGGCAGTTTCCTTGAGCCTGGATTCAGAATTATAACACAAATGTCCTCATGAAGAAAGTTTTGCTGCACTGTTTCCTCAAGTCTGTCATTTTGACATCCATTTTAGACAAATATTTGTCTGAGGTCTGTGCTTCCTAACCCCTGACTGTCTCCAGTCTACCTACAAAGCAGCAGAATTGTCTCTCTAAATCTGGCTTTTATCCTATGACCCCATGATCTGTCCTGCATGAAAGACCCTGACAGTAGCTAAACATTGCAACACACAAGCCCCTCTACATTATCAGAGGGCATAACACACACCACACATGTACTGCACACATGCAGACACGCATGTACCCACACAAATAATAATTATTATTTCCATGGCCCAACTTTAACTGGCCAGTGTTTTTCCTTTTCTGCTGTTAAAAATATGGAAACTCAGCAATTACCGAGGAAAGCAAGGCAACCAGTGCAGGTATGCAACCTTGTTGGAGAAGTAGGTTCCGATGTTTACTGGAATCTCCAGCCAGATTTCCAACAGCCCAAGCACACAGCTCCTGGTAAGATCAAAGGTCAAAGATATAGGACCCATTTTACGCCAGTGACACATATCTGCTGTGCTAATTAAAAAAAACGTTCAGCTTACACTAAACACAAATCTTGGCATCAGAGATATCTGCCCTGATAATTTAAAACAATAATATCTTAGACTGCTTGTGTCTGTGGCTTAGGCGTTGTAAACACACTTTGTAATGCCAGGAGGTTCGATGCCAGCTGCAGATTGTTTGTCTTGCGTTGGTTTCGACAGCAACCTACTAGGTAAAATCTGCCTTGAAAAACCACAACAGCCAAAAAATGCTAGAGTTGGTTCTGCAACATCCTATAAAGGATTTGCAACTAACTTTATCTAAGACTAAAGACACAAATCTTGGCTACTTACAATATTTAAAAATCTATACTTTCAGTTGCATTTAAAAATAACAGAATAATAGTATAAATATGTAAGTTTTAAGAATAAGCCTGAGATAAAAATGATGAAATTCTGAGTGAAAGTGGATGAAATAAACAACTGTTGAACACTGTACAGTCCATGCAATGTGATGTTGGTAATGGCATGGCCGTTGATTTAATCGTATGTGTCGATTTCTTCTCACCCAAAAAAAAAAAGGTCAACACATTAAATTTCTGGAGATAGCTTTTATCCAGTTTGCCCTCGAGACAGTTGTAGTCCCCTGCAGACAAGATTATGTCTTCTGATTGGGCCTCAGAGATCAAAACATTGCGAAGGCAGCGTGGTCGAGAATGCTAAAACTATCCTGCTCCGACATAGCAAAACCATTATACACGCAGCTCCCATGGAAAACACATAGTATCCTGCATTGGAAATGCGCATAAAATAGCAGTCCATGATAGGAGGACAGAACAATCTGCGGGAAATCACAACCAGCTTAAAGAACCACCACTGCTATCTGCAATTTTGAAAACGGAAGTCGCCCAACATATTATAAAGATTATGTTGGTAATGACATCTGCCACAGCCTTATGTCTCTTGTGTAGTCAATTATGTTTGAGATGAATGTTCCTCCATGCCTCAAACTATCGAAAATCTGTTTTCCTGGTCTTCCTCTACCTCTTTTCTCCCTAAACTTTCCCTCTGCCAAAACAGACTCCAGTTTTTCTCTTCTCACTTGGTGCCCAATAAATGCTGACTGAACTTCAGACAAACATGGTTATCTCCATCTGGTCACATTATTACTGGTGACCCTCCATTATCAGGGCAAGACAACAAACATGGTTATCTCCATCTGGTCACATTATTATTGGTGACCGTCTATTATCAGGGCAGGACAACAAACATGGTTATCTCCATCTGGACACAAAATTACTGGTGACCCTCTATTATCAGGGCAGGACAACAAACATGGTTATCTCCATCTGGTCACATCATTACTGGTGACCCTCTATTATCAGGGCAAGACAACAAACATGGTTATCTCCATCTGGTCACATTATTACTGGTGACTTGTCTATTATTAGAGCAAGACAACAAACATGGTTATCTCCATCTGGTCACATAATTACTGGTGCCCGTCTATTATCAGAGAAGACAACAAACATAGTTATCTCCATCTGGTCACATTATTACTGGTGACTGTCTATGATCAGGGCAAGACAACAAGGAAGGTGCACACTCATGCCACGTTTTCATGGACACACTGGATGGAGCAACTTTCCCAAATACTGACTGTGCAGTTACCAAACTGGTGTCTGTAGTGACCAATGATCAGACTTATATATATATATATATTAAAAAAAAAAAAAAGTGAATAAAACTGTTAATGCAGTAAGACACGTAACAGTGTGTCAATGTCAACTACCAGTATACTGTAAATATAATCCCCGAAACTGAGCAGTAGCTCTTGTTCAGTTTTGTTACAACTTTGTTTATAATCTATGTTTTACACTTTTTAACTATAAAATATTAAATGGGTAGCTGCAGATTTTATCCACTGCTAACTGATCCGCATAAAAGGGGGGGGGTCTATTAAACTTACATATGAGTGTTTTGTTTGTCTCCCATCAAAGACAGACCTTTGTACCTCTAATTATAGTTCCCCCCCACCCTCTGCAGACTTATGAGAAAGAAAGAGTTTAAAATCACAGGATATCTAAATGAAGACCACTGTCATTTGCCAAGTCTGTTTTTTCCCCTTTTATTTTCTCACCCAATAGAACAGAGGCCCTCAACAAACTCATAAGAAGCCTTTCACGTAGTCAAATTCTTGACTGGTAGGATTTTACACACCTTTAAATCAGTTTCCCATCTGTAAAGATGGCATATTAGAATGACACCAGGTCACAAAGAGCATACCAACCGTCCAGAAAGGGACAAACAACCAGAAATTTTCACCAGAGATTACAGTCTGTCGACGCAAAGAAGAAGAAGAAAAGACTGAGCCCTTACCTGCATGTGTGGATCAGAACCTTGCAGGAACTGAATCAGAAGGGGAGTTAAATGCATCATGCTTCTCAAACTCAAAGAAGTTGCTGCCGTTAGATTGATGGCACACCATGCCGCTGCATGCAAGACTGCTGAATCAGTTGACAAGAGGCAGCTCTGCAAAGCTTGCAAGCCTTCAAGTCTGTCAAAACAGAAATGTTGTTTCAGTTAGATTTTCAGGACAAAAAAAGTAAAAAGCACTTGCTACTTAAAAAAATCAAAGATGAAACAAACAGTGACATTCTCTACTCAGGTAGAACATAAGATTATGGTGTAACCATCAGCCGCCCCAACCCCCCCCCCCCCCCCCCCCCCCCCCCATGTTTGGAGTCTGCACAATCTAACCAGACTGTTTGGAGTATGCACAATTTAACCAGACTGTGCTTGGAGTATGCACAACCTAACCAGACTGTTTGTAGTATGCACAATCTAACCAGACTGTAATCTGGTAATTTTAGTTTTAGCTTCATAGCAATTTGGTCACCCCATAGTTGCTCCACTCCTGTGCGAACAAAGAACACACAGAATGTTTACCACAGTCCCTTGTGGAAAGATTGACACTGCTGTCTAGCACAATATGCACTAGCATACACATGCATACGGTAGCCATCCGAAGTGGTAAAACAAACAGTCTGACATTAGAAATGCAATTCATCATGGATGGTAGCACTAGCAGAAGTCACCAACAGATCAGCAGTTGCACACGTGATCAATTTAATCACAAAATGGCACCACTTATATTGTGACAACCAACATCGCACCGTTTTCTGAATCTACAATTCACAACACCACGTTAGTCACAGTCGAAAAACATTCCAAATGAAATACACAGTTCACAGTGTCACACCATGCACTCAACTCAGAAGCTGGGCAACGAAACTATATCCTTTCAGTTTACAAAAGAAGCAAAAATACAACGGCCACCGTCTGGTAGAAGCAAATAATTTGCCATGGCTCAAAACAGTGGCCGTGCCTAGCGTACATTTTGATCAGAAGTCCAAAGTGTTCAGACTGTTTGGAGTATGCACAATCTAACCAGACTGTGTTTGGTGTATGCTTAATCTAACCAGACTGTGTTTGGTGTATGCTTAATCTAACCAGACTGTGTTTGGTGTATGCTCAATCTAACCAGACTGTGTTTGGTGTGTGCACAATCTAACCAGACTGTGTTTGGTGTATGCTTAATCTAACCAGACTGTGTTTGGTTTATGCACAATCTAACTAGACTGTGTTTGGTGTATGCTTAATCTAACCAGACTGTGTTTGGTGTATGCTTAATCTAACCAGACTGTGTTTGGTGTATGCTTAATCTAACCAGACTGTGTTTGGTGTATGCACAATCTAACCAGACTGTGTTTGGTGTATGCTTAATCTAACCAGACTGTGTTTCGTGTATGCTTAATCTAACCAGACTGTGTTTGGTGTATGCTTAATCTAACCAGACTGTGTTTGGTGTATGCTTAATCTAACCAGACTGTGTTTGGTGTATGCTTAATCTAACCAGACTGTGTTTGGTGTATGCTTAATCTAACCAGACTGTGTTTGGTGTATGCACAATCTAACCAGACTGTGTTTGGTGTATGCTTAATCTAACCAGACTGTGTTTGGTGTATGCTTAATATAACCAGACTGTGTTTGGTGTATGCACAATCTAACCAGACTGTGTTTGGTGAATGCTTCATCTAACCAGGCTGTTTTGTGTATGCTCACAAAGGAATCGAGAGAGAGAGAGAGAGAGAGAGAGAGAGAGAGAGAGAGAGAGAGAGAGAGAGAGAGAGAGAGAGAGAGAGAGAGAGAGATAGAGATGAGAGAGACAGAGAGAGACAGAGAGAGACACAGAGTGAGAGAGAGAGAGAGAGAGAGAGAGAGAGAAAGAGAGAGAGACACAGAGAGAGAGGGGGGAAGAACACACAACAAATCTAATACAGAAGACCTGGAATAACACAGCAGTTAGAATGTCTGCATGCTAGCCTGAAAGCCTTACTTTCTGATATCCTTTTAAACTGACTTTAATCAATTAGCCAACAACTGAATCACATTTTTTTTGCTTCCACTTCTTCTGTGTTGGCTGGCTGTGAACTCTGGCAGGAAGTTTTGGTTCTTTGTCAGTGAGTAGACTTTGGCCTTGGTTGCAGGACTTGCGTGTTTCATGTATATATTTGCTGTATATGTATTATAATCCTACCAGATTAGCTGCTGTATATGTATTATAATCCTACCAGATTAGCTGTATATGTATTATAATCCTACCAGATTAGCTGCTGTATATGTATTATAATCCTACCAGATTAGCTGCTGTATATGTATTATAATCCTACCAGATTAGCTGCTATATGTATTATAATCCTACCAAATTAGCTGCTGCATATGTATTATAATCCTACCAGATTAGCTGTATATGTATTATAATCCTACCAGATTAGCTGCTGTATATGTATTATAATCCTACCAGATTAGCTGTATATGTATTATAATCCTACCAGAGTATACAATTAACAGGCACTGAATATTCATCTGCAAGATTGCTTTCTGCTGTATTTCATTCAAATGAATTACCCATTTTGAGATAAGAAACTACTGAACTGCCTGCCATCCAGGAGAATCAGTCGAAACTTATAACAATCTACTGATGTTAGGGATGTGGCTAAAGGCTCCTTGCCTCTCAGGCAGATGTGCCTTGACTGTGAAGGAAACATAAATCCTGTCTAAGCTGGCCAGGCACCCAGTAGTGAAACTGTGTCCTAAATAAGCATGAGGCTGGTTTAGCTCTGTATCCTCACAGGTGGAGGTTCACCTCTACATCCTGCATGTTTTTATTCACTTAATTTAACTATCAAGATTTTCAACAACTGAACACACCTGAGAAAGATCCTGGCATTCTCAGGATCTCTAGCAAAGCATTTCCGAAGCACAGTTAGAGCTTCCACATTTTTACTCTGTTTCAGAAACTTGGTCGCTTGTGTGATCTAAATTAAAGAAAAAAAAGAAACATTAAATATTTTCAGGCTGGGTTGATCTGGTGGTAAATTTAATAATTCCACCTCAATGGAAATGCAATATACATTGGCTGGCAGACAAGTTGGCTAGCTGCTCTACTGAAGTTTCATCCTACCAGATTAGCTGTGTATGTATTATAATCCTATCAGATTAGCCGTATATGTATAATAATCCTACCAGATTAGCTGTATATGTATAATAATCCTACCAGATTAGCTGTATATGTATAATCCTACCAAATTAGCTGTATATGCATTATAATCCTACCAAATTAGCTTATATGTATTATAATCCTACCAGATTAGCTGTTTATGTAATATAATCCTACCAGAGTATACAATTAACAGGCACTGAATATTCATCTGCAAGATTGCTTTCTGCTGGATTTCATTCAAATGAATTACCCATTTTGAGATAACAAACTGCTGAACTGCCAGCCTGGAGAAACAGCTGACACTTATTACCATCTACTGTATGGTCATTTACAAGATTAACTTCAGCGGAATTTGTTTCTACTAAATTACCCATTTCAGGCGGGTACCAGGTAAAGACCAGGGAAGTAAAGGTGGCCGACTTGACCCTGACCATATTACCCACCAAGTGTTGATTGGTCTAAAACATTTAGGTCCAGCCCTACACAACTGAAGGCATGGGAAAGGGTCCTTTACTTTTCTTGTTTTTTCAATTACCCATTACAGAATAACTAGTAACTGAATTTTTTTTCAGTGAATCCACATCATTTCTGCTATTTCCGGCCCCCAAAGTTTGAGACAAAAGCATGACTGTTGGGTAAGCAGCCATCTCCATAACCCTGCACAAATATTTGCAGGAAAGAAAGCCGTTCCGGCAAACCAAAAGTGAAGAGGCGTGTCTGGCAAGTGCACCTTTGACAGTTGTTAATGAAAGCTGTTCTGCGAAAGTCAACAGTCTGACATGCAAATAAGCTGTCACAAAAATAAGCTGCACAGAATAGGACAGAATGGAGGAACAGGCTGCAAGATCTGCTTGCCATATAACAATACAACCACATGATGACGATGGTGATGATCACCGTCTACTTCAATACCTTCTCTAGTTCCTCTTCTCTTGAAAGCGTTGCTTCTGCATCCTCTAAAGTTTCCACCTTGAGCCGTTTACTCAAGATCAGCTGGTCTCTGCTGCGAATCTGTTCCTCTGTGAGTTAAAGAAAACAGATCTATCATGAAAGTTTAGCTCAACTGTGACAGGACAAGATTTTAGTCTTAGTTTCATGGAGCTCAGTTATTTTCCCACAATTCTTCTTCTTCTCTGTCCCAATTACTTCCCTGAAGTACTGGGGGAGACTTCAGGGTCTTCTGTGTGGTCTGTCTAATTTTACTTGGCGGCAGACACTACTATAATTTATCTATGCAGCTATCTGCCACTGAAATGTTAATATCTCTGCTTAGAACTAACTTACATGCTTCACTGGGGTATCGTTGTATTTGTAATTTGAGTCTCTATCTAGCTGTAATTGTTTGTTTCATAAGTAAAAACTCAATATATATAACTTTACTAGCATCCCTAACAATAACAGGCCTGCTGTTTGGTTTGATGATGTGAATGAATATTAATGAAGAATATCTTCTTTTCTTTCTTTTGTCAATATCTGCTTACGCCGTTAGGCGTCGAAGTTCATCAGATGATCGGCAGTGGAGCCAGGGTGTGCTCAGTCGCTTGATATACCATGATGCTATGCAGTCTCAAGGTGTCAGGGACTCCTTCAATCCATCTTCTGCTCAGTCATCCCCTGCCTCTTAGTGTTTCAATTTTCAGGTTGTACGCTCTTGTTGCTGGCATTGTTGGTTTCAATCTCATTAGATGACCAAACCATTTCCTTTTTTTTCTCTCAAAAAATGTGACAATAGGTGTTGTTCAGCAGTTCTTGTGATCATGTCGTTTCTCACTCAATCTCTTCTGGTTTTATTCACAGCCATTCTCAAAAATTTTATCTCACAAGTGGTTAGTTTTCTTTCATGTTCTTTTGTCAGTGTCCAAGTCTGACATTGGTAATCTAAAGTCGGTATAAATATTGTATTTATAATTTGTTTTTTTGTCTGTATTGGGATAGCAGGTATTGGAGCAAAAACTGGAGCAAGTTGGTACATGACGTTGTTGGCTTGTTGGATTCTCCTTTCTATCTCTCTATTTTACCACTGTTTGTAAAGATGCTTCCCAACCAAGTAAATTCTTGCACCTGTTTCAGACTTTTATTTTTATGTCGATGGTTTGTTGCTCTCTACTTATTCTCATGACTTCTATTTTTTCAATATTGATCTTCACGTGCTTCCAGTGCCAAACATGGACACTATCTAAAGCACATATACACAAAATCACCACCTGCGAGATGAGGTGCCTGAGAAAAGTAGCCAAATAACCATCCGAGATCGAGTGAATAAGAAAAATATCAGATAAATTGTGGGAACGACACCTTGTACTAGATTCATCGAGAAACGGCTGATAAAGTGGTTTAGCCATCTTGTTAGAATGCAGCAAGATCAAATACCATCACAGGCACTATATCTCACAAGATCAGCTATAAGAGCAAGAGGAGGGCTATAGAATACATGGATCGACAACATTAAAGACACACTACACCTTCACAGCAAAACAACAGCCAATGGCAACCAGCGTGATCACAAATTATTCCTCCCCACGACGCTTAAAGGCAAATGTGGTCTATGATTATGATCTTCATGTAAGGTTTAAGGCAACTGTCGTGTATTTGGTTTATGTGGTCCTGCAGCTGTTTACTTTCACTGAGGAATATGCACTGATCGTCGGCAAAGAGCTACTCATTGAAGTCCTCCTGTCTGTCGACATCTGGTGGTGTTAGGTCTATTTTTTTTAATTAATATTGCCCATGAATTTCATAAAAAAGTAAAGGTGAAAGAACACACCCCTGCTTTACCCCTGATGTTACTGGGAACCAGTCTGTGAGGCCAGCTCTTGTTCTGACAGCGCATTCACTTTCTTTATGAATAGCTCTTACACAATCTAGCACTGTTCAATTTATAGTATAGTTTTCAAGGACAATCCATAGAAAATCTCTGTTCACTCAGTCAAAAGCCTTTTCTTGATCTATAAAATCGATGCAGCAAGAAAATTTTGATGAGAACAAATCTGATGACATGCCTCAAAGAAGGTTTGATCACAGCCTATCCATTAAAGAACATGTTGACCATGTCATAACAAAAGCACACAAAGACCTGTCAGCAATGAGGGTCCTGGCCGCCGCTAACACTGAGTACAGACTTCTTTCTGTTCCAGAGACTTGTACTTTCTCCCATCGAATATGCTCTAGCCATCATCACTGTCAGCCATTCTTAGACTGAAAGATTTGAGAATGTGCAAAATAAAGCAATGCACATTATTCTGGGGTGCACTGGAGACACCTTTTGTGTAGCAATGAGGTACCTTCTTGACCTTCCTACCATAAACCCTACCATGAACTAGAGGATCAAGGTCTGGAGGGCTCGTGCAAACCTCAAGATAAGCTCAGATTTGAAGCACCCTTTGCACCACATGTTTTTCAAGAAAAAGGGCAGGCTTAAAAGGTGCAAATCATGGCTGGGCAGGGCAAAGGATGACATCATGCAGGTTTGCAGCCTTACAGACATCCATGCAGGTGAGGAATGGATACCAGCATCTAAAGCGCCCAATCTCACATTCTCTTGTGTTGTGCCGCTCGATAGTTGTTAGGAGCAGAATCCAGCTGCTGTCAATGCTGAGGTATGCGTGCTTATCAGTGACAAGTCAGATGAGACAGATGTGGTGATCTTCACAGACGGATCCATTATACGAGGACTTAAGAGTGCATGGGCATTTACAGCTCGCTCTTTAGGCAGAACAGTTCAAGAAGCCAGCGGTGCCTTCTTCATGACCACCAGCAGCATGACAATGGAGGTGATGGCGGTGACACAGGCTTTCATGTGGCTGGGATCACAGGACTATTCCCCTGTGTGTGTATGCTGAGTGATTATTTGAGAATGATCCCGCGGGTCGAGGCACGCTGGTTACGCAGAAAGTGGTTTGAGTCTGCAAAACTGCCCTGTGTGTGCAGTTACCTTCATATCTGTCCCAGGGTATGCAGGCGTTGTTGGTAATGAAAGAGCTGATAGACTGGCAGATGCTGCATTAACTGAAGATGGCCGGCCCATGGATCACGCAGACATTGTCATTGCCCTTAGAGAGATAGGACGTTCTGAGGATTTTGGAAGCAACCTGTCCACATCACTGCTAAGAAAATGCAAACTGGGAGTAAAGATCAGCACAGCCAAGCATGAGAAGCACACCAGACGATCACAAAGTCTTGTTAACCAACATAGGACTGGCACTATTAACTGCCTGACGCTGATGAATATGTTGAGAGGGGAATCTGAGCACCTATGAATGTGTCCGGAGTGCTGTGAAGATAATCTAACTCATAACTCCTGAATCTGACCAGACCTGTGCTAGGCTCAGAATTGGTTCTACAACCTATCTAATTTATTGTCTAGAATCTTATTACCTACGTAGCTTAAAAGGGAGATGCCTCTAACTCTATAGTGTTACAATCTTGCTTATTGCCCTTTTTTTCCATATTGGTACTAGAATGGTCCTTTGCCGGTCTATTCGCACAGTTCTTTCACTTTCATTCCAGGCTTTCCTAAATTAGGAGCAGACAGGTGACTCCAGTTTCTCCACAGGCCTGAACTGCCCAAATGTAAGTCCATCAACCCTGCGGCCTTATTTTTTGGACTGCACTCGTGTGTGTATAATTAATAATAGCTGGGTGAACTGAATGCTGAATGATTGATTTTGATTTGATTTAAGAACCGACATCACAGCACTCGGGGCATTCCCATAAGTGCTCCGTCCCCATCTTCAGCAGCCAGCAAAGAGTTCCGATACTGATGGTGCCAGTAGCATTCATTCTGATTAAACGTCTGTCTTGCCTTTCCTCTGAGCCTCGAGCATCTGCCAGAACCTCTCGTTACTCCCCGCTGCATCAATCTCACCAGACTGTGGTGATCCATCTGCTCTTCCGGTGACTGTACACGCTCTCCCATAAGGCACTAACCACGTCTGCCTTTTTCAGTATTACACCAACTGAATGAAATGAAGAAATGGGGTCTATTATTTGTAACTCTATTTTCTGTTAGTTACGTTCAGAAGAGTTTGAAAATATAGATCTAGTAAAAATCAAACATGAAATGTGTTAACAAGGGAGTACACAAAAATTTACTGTGTACAGCGGTCTTAGCTGCCAGCTTTATGTCGCTGAGATATTTTCCTTTGCATTTGTACAGATCTTGGCGAGCGGGGGCTGCCATTGATACCTCTGTGAGTTGTGTTATGTAAAAAGGTTGATGAAAAATCACGAAACAAACTGTTTAACATTTTGAATTTATCATTATCATGATGTGCCTTGCCGGCTGGTGTTTATAAATTTCTCTTCCCCACAACTTTACACCTCCAGTGGCTTGTGCTGACAACCTTCCTTGCCATGACCAAAGACTGTAAAGAATTTCCTTGCGTTTTCCGATTAAATGTCCCTGTTCAAGTGATTATGGAGAGTTGTCATCGTCGCACTCCCGATAGAGTCATAGGTGCTCCGATCTCCTCCTTCAAAACTCTACAAGCGTAAAATGATCAATGACGCCTGTGCTGTGTTGATGAATTAAACGTCTTGTCCCCTTAGTGAAACGTCCATTTTTTGCAACTCTAGGTTGGATTCCCATGAACATCAGCCTAGACAGGGGGTCCTAAGTCATGCTCTTTGGTCGTGCTCGTCTGCGTGGTTAGTGCTGGGCATAAAATAGGTATTCCTTCTCTACCGCGTTTTACAGTGAGTGGATTCGTTAATGTGATACTTTATCTTACAACAGATTAACAGGAATATTCTCTCTGACGACATTATACAACGAGTTGCGTGTTCTCAGCGTAAACATAACAACCTAGTGTAGTATTTCAATTCGATTGCAACAGAAACTAGCAGAACAAAAATAGAAATTGTTTCGTTTTTAACAGGAACATTCTTTTATCACTACAAAGCGGAAACGCTTGCGGCATGTTCTGCCATCAAGTGTTGTCGCATCCGAAATCCGTATTGCAACATTGGAAGATCAACATGTTACTTTCTCAAACTTCCTGTTGAGAAGTATGACAGAAAGTTGCCAGACACACAACTGTCTCGGAATCATCGTTAATTACAGCCATGGCTCTTAAAGATTTACTAAGTAGCCACCCAAATGCGATGTCTGTCGCATTGTTTGGGGCGGGCTTTGCCGTTGCCACCCTTGTACTGAGGTACCGATCTCGATCGCCCAGGGGACTGGTTGGGCAGAGTTCAAGCAACACCACAAACTCTGTTAATGGTAAAGTAAGTCATCAGTCATTACACTATACACTATAGTAAACTGATTAACGATATTAAATTGCACTCATAGAAAGGGCTCGTTTTATTCTGTTTTTCATCATTTCATTCATTCGAAATCTGCTGTCACTGTGGTCTGTTACTATGACCTATGTTAATGTGGCTTGAGTCATTGCAAAATTCTACTGTTGTGTGCAGTTACTTTCATACTCGTTACAGGGCATGCAGGAGTTTTTGGCAATGAGAGAGCTGATAGACTGGTAGGTACGGCATTAATTGAAGATGGCCGGCCACGCAGACAGGTTCTCCTCCAAACTTCTACCCCCGCATTATGGCGGCCTGAAATATCCGTTCGAGGCTCAGTTCTATTAAAAATATGCCGGCTCCGTCTAATGAAACAAATGCTCTAAAAGGGTCTCAGCGATATTTTACTTCCAGACCTGTTACTTATTGTTTCTGATTACCTGACAACTCTAACTCTAAGAGACGCAACACTGCAGACGATAATAGCGACCTTAAAGCTTTCCATTGTCGGACATTCTGCCGAGGAACAAATTGCGGCAAATCTAGGATCGGCTCGGAAAAACGAAACAAATGTTCTAACAGGGTCTCAGCGATGTTACTTGCGGACCTGTTTCTGCGATTATGCCTCACCGCCGACCGTATCCCCTGCACCGTTACACGCGGCATTGATAGGGGCTAAAGTAGATGGCTGGGACTCATGAGCAGCAGCTACCGCATCTCCTGCAACTTCCTCCAGTTACTTTGCTCGTGAGTCCCAGGCACCTAGTTTAGCTCTCCCCCCCCCCTCCCATACGCTCGGCGGTGAGTTTAATCGCGTTTTGTGCATGCCGATAAGTCTGACATCTACCGCTGCTAAATCCTCAATCGGAAGAACAGTATTGCTAATCTGCGTGGGAGCGCGTGGTCTACCCGCCATATCGCTCCCATCGTCTGTAATGTCTCGAAACTCAACGGTCGCTTTTATCCTCTGCAGAAACGCTCGACATTGTCACCGGTCGCTTTTATCGTCTGCAATGTTGCGTGTCTTGAAATTGTCAAGTAATCCTAGTTTTGCCGCGATTTGTTCCATGGCAGAAAGTCCGAATTTTCCATTGGACTGAGCCCCGAACGGATATTTCAGGCCGCCATAATGCGGGGGTAGAAGTTTGGAGGAGAGCCCGCAGACATTGTCATTGCCCTTAGAGAGATAGGACGTTCTGAGGATTTTGGAAGCAACGTGTCCACATCACTTCTAAGAATGCGTGATTTGGGAGTAAAGATCGGCACAGCCAAGCATGAGAAGCACACTGGACGCACACAAAGTCTTGTTAACCAACAAAGGACTGGTACTATTAACAGCACGATGCTGATGAATATTTTGAGAGGGGAATCTGAGTGCCTATGGATGTGTCTGGAGCGCTGTGAAGATAATTTAACTTATAACTTATACTATGTTAATGTTATTTCATGATCTCGTTTCCAATGTGCACACTCCCACTCCTAATTTCTCACTATATTCTAAAAATTTATTAATTATAATAATTAATGGGCTATCCTCCTAATAACGGCCACATGGCGGCCAAAAACACAGCGCTCCAGTCACATGTAAATTGCAGACTTTCGGCGATGCCCGCCACCGCGAGAATATCTCCCACGCCGCTACGCTACGCTTCCGCATTTCCTGCAGCTTTGCTCGTGAGTCCCAGCCATCTAGTTTGTCCCCTGTGACTATACCGCACCGCTGACAGTATTCCCTGCGCTGCGTGTAGCGGCATGGATTGGGGACAAAACTAGATGGCTGGGTGGGTCTCACGTGCAAATAAATTGGAGGAAGTTGCAGGAGATGAGGTAGTGGGGGTTGATGCCAGACACTGCTAACTGAGAGAGCGTAAAACATTATTTTAAAGTTCTCATTTCTTAACTATTTTTATTTTAACAATGTCGCCATGTGATAATTGTTAAGTCATTCTGAGAGGGAGATATGATTGGAGGGGGGGGGGGTATGACAGACACCGTTAGCTCAGAGAAATTATAACTTTTTTTTTACAGTTCTCATTTCTTATGTATTTATATTTTAATACCGCTTTCTGAGCTATTTTCATTTTTTATTCAGTCAGTTAGATGTATAGCAGTGAGCTTTACTTTCACCTGTTTAAGCACAACAGATGCTTTAGCCTCGATAAACAAATAATCTTTTTTCTCTCTCTAATAGTGCACTTTATTCGACCACTAATATCGACATTCACTGATATGTTGACGTTCTAGAGTCGGCATATCAGACCATCTCTGTAGCTGTGCAGTGACTGATATTAACCATATTAGACAGGTGCACTTTCTATTTTCTTTCTTTTCCATTTTACCATTCTGGGCCACAGCAACGCGTGGCCGGGTACAGCTAGTATGTTATAATTGTTTGACACTGCTGGTATAAGGTCTCTTTGTACGGTACATTGGTAATATGAGGCCAGACTCATTGTTTTTATAGGCCCTCAATGGGTAGTGTGGTCAATGTGACACCAACCACTTTTACTTCCAAGCATTTTACCTGGTATCCATTTTAAGGCTGTGTTGACCTGGGAGCCAGGGTCATGTTGGAAAAACTCCGGCTCCCTGACCTTTGGACCCGCAGGTGAGCATCTAGCCGCTACACCACGATAGCTAATGTTACTTGTATATTGTTACATAAAGTCTTCTTACAAAGAGCAGTATGATTAAGCGCCAGCAAGAAAATCAAAATGTTAGAACATGCATCTTTTCTGTAACAACATGTGGATGTGTCGTGGACTATCTCGTAGTGATTAAGGAAGAAAAAAGGGCTTTTGATCTTAAATGCGATAGAAAAAAAAAATTCTCATAATACCACACACCATTTACACTGTGACTGACATTTTTACAGATCTGAACATCAGGGAGGGAACTTTGGCTAGTAAACAGAAACTGAAATATTTTAGCCACAAAAAGCACCCATAGTGGATTGGAAATAATATCAAAAGGCATGATACAGGAAAGAGGGCAGGGGCAACCAAAATGAAGATCGACACACGATTTAAGCAACACCTTGAGTTGGAAAGTGGAAGAGCTGGTGAGATACCTAGTTTATTTCAAGCAAACCATGATAAGAGCGGTGTTCTGCAAATGACCTGTAACATTATAAAAGTCTTTTTTCTATGCCTGCAGATGACATATGGTGCTGCTGCCGTTCTCATCCAATTATAGACGATTGGTAATTGGCAGGATGATAGACTCACTAGCACACCCGGCGACCTTTTACTTCCATGAATGTTCCCTAAACCCATTTTTAAGTTGAGTTAGTCTGAAAGCCCAAGTCAGATTTCAAAAGCTGCTTCACCAAGGATTTGAACTGTGACCACCAGGCTGACTGCCACACAAGCATGCTGGTTATTGTCGTTCCCTGAATTACATGAAGTAAAACACAAGCTATGAGGAATTACACTCTGCATATCAAGATGCTGCCTCAATGTTATGAACTAGGGATGACAAGGATCACACCTTGTAAACTGGGTAGTAGACCTTGTAACATTACAGATATTGATAAGACAGACATGATGAAGTCATTAAAGTACAGAAACAAGAATTTTGGTGTTTGTGAAAATTAATTAGTAACTTTTTATTTTTTTATCTTTAAATTCATGGTGAAGATGAATAATTTCTACATTTTGTGTACAGGGGGATCATAGTCTGGAAACAAAGGTTGCACAGGAAGAGTACAAAATGGTTCTCGTTGTTCGAACAGATTTGAAAATGGGTAAAGGAAAAATGGCAGCACAGGTATGTAGGGGTTTGTTTGTGTATCAAGTTATTTGTGACTATTGTTGATGGTTACTTCAGCCGTGAAGAAGTAGAGCATTACTTCAACACTGCAGTCATCACTTATACACTGTCATCCTTACCGTTGACATAAGTTTTCAGAGAAGTTTGAGTCAATATCTCATGTCTTGACTGTCACACTGTGTCTGGTTTGTTGGTCTGCCTTGACTGTTGTCACACTGTGTCTGATTGGTTGGTTGGTCTGCCTTGACTGTTGTCACACTGCGTCTGATTGGTTAGTCAGTCTGCTTGACAGTTGTCACACTGTGTCTGATTGGTTGGTAAGTCTGCCTTGACTGTCGTCACACTGTGCTGGTTCTGGGTTCCAGTTTGGGAATAAAACAGAATAGATCTGCTGCTGCCTCTTCTTAGCAACTTGCTGTCACATGCAACACATTAAGGGTTTACTGAAATTGGATGTGTTGTCCTGAAAGGAGCAGTTATTACAGCCTTGCTGTAAACTGCAATGCAACACAAAGTGTCTACCAGCTTTCTATTAGCAAACACCAGAGATCTTGGGTAAGAGTTATTATCAGCACCTCCAACTGTCAACCGTGTATCAGTTGACACTTACAGAATTGTACCAGATATACAGAGAGCTGATTGTGCACCTGACAAAGAGGTTGCAGTTAATATACATGTTAGTTCAGCATCAAAGATTGCTTGAGCTATCTTGATGTACCCACCACATGGTAGAATGATTCAGGAAGCCAGTAGCACAATCGCCACAGCCAGAGACCACAACCACACACAGCAGTCAGACACCACAGCCATACACCATAACCACACACCACAGCCAGACACCACAACCACATACAGCAGCCAGACATCACAACCACACACCACAGCCAGACACACCAAAACATTTTATGGGCTTGAGCTGCAAAACACTTGCCCTTCAGAATTGTGAGCATGGAAGCAGAAGATTGAAGTGGCATGGAGAGGACAGATAACCTTGGCCTTTGAACTGAAATGTTCGACAACTGAGTAAGGAAAAATAAACATACAGGCACTCTGCAAGTTTGGGAGTTAAAGGCAGCAGAGATAGATGATGCTGAGGGTCAGAACTGTGCATAGAGAGTTTAGTGTTGATTTCCTGGAAATTATGCTTTATGTCACCTCATATTGTGTACCAGCTCCATTCCTGTGCCAGTGAAAATCAAGTGAAATGCCCCTCGCTGTCCTATTTGAAAAATTGGTGAACAAACAATGAATCTCGGGGAACAATCCAGAAATGTGCGCATGCAGTAAATGCATATAGCAGTCACTAGATGCACCAAAGCCAATAGTCACCACCAGAAATGCTGGACTGATAAGTTGGCTGTACACATGTAGAAATATTACATAAGATATTTAACCAGCCCACACTTAAACCGGCTACTTGCCATAATGAATACAGTGACTCAAAAAAGCATTCCACATGGTTTAAAAAAAAAAAACCAGAGCTCACAGGGCTGCACCAAGCACTAATCTCAATAGCTCAGTCAGCAAAACCGTAGACTACCGACCAAATGTGGAAACTGCATCAGCAAAGCACTGTTGGAAGCCAAAAATAACTTCAAAGCTATCATTCTGCCATGCCCAGTCCTCCGTTTTAGACCTGGAGTTTATTCATTGCTGCGGTGAGGGACAGAATGTTGCAAATTGTTTACAGCCCACCTTCATTGCGGAGTTGACACCTGGCTGATATAGGCAGTGGCCTACTAGACTTAAATCGGAGCTGCACTGATCTTGAGTGAATGAATGTATTAATTGAGAAGTGACATCCCTGCACTTGGGACATTCCCACAGGGGCTCCATCTCCTCCTTCACTGGCCAATAAAGAGTTAGTATGCTAATAGTCCCTGTTGCAACCTGATTAAAAACTTGCCTATGTCTTCCCTGCCGTGTTGAATATCTTAACCTTTTATGTAATGTTCGCAGTGTGCCCATGCAGCCGTTGGAGCAGTCGAAAAACTGGCCTACGTCAATATGGCTGCCCTCAGACACTGGCAGAACCTTGGACAGCCTAAAGTCGTACTGAAGGTCGATGGCTTAGAAGCACTGTAAGTTATATTTTATTTACAATTTTCGCGTGCATAATTATTGTAAAGAGTGGTCTGATTTTGTCAGACTGACTTTGTCTAAACATACCCACATGCTCTTTCTCTCACTCTTTCACACTGCACCTGCTTACCTCCACTTTTATGCATGTTTCTCAACTTGCTCTTAGAAACCTTTTGTTAATGATTACATTTTGTGACTACAGTTTTCTGCCAGATCAGGTAGCCACTCTCAGTCCTTGGCAGGTGTCAGTCTTACCTCTTCTGACCAGCCTGGCAGGTTTCCTCACTATCCTTGGCTTTCCTTAGCCCCCACTTCTGACCACTGTACTGGGTTTCAGTCTCACTAACATTGGCTATTCTTATGCGTCTCAGTAGCACGCTGGTAACTTGCTAGTTTACAGTTGGCACACGGTCCTTGAGCAGACCTGGAAAACACTTGGGCATACTACTATAAGAGCAAGAACCCCAGTGTGGCTTTATCTTGCAGCTGTATACATTTTATCATTGCTATAAGAACTGAGAGATTATTAGCTTTCTTCATTCGATGTGTCGTGATACATGCTAGTTCTTGGTTGATAGAGCCATTTATCTAGTTAATTTCAGTAACTGATGAGGCTGTAGTCTGTTCAATAATTTTCCTGGGTCAATAATTTCACTCAAGGTATTTTAGAAAGTTAGGGCCATTGTGATGTGTATTAGGAGAACCACTGTACCTCACATTGGGCCCCAGCAGTCTGTGTGCCGGTTTTGCAGATCCTCGTCATGCACTATGGATAGTGATCTGTATCAACATATGCCCAGAAAAAAGAAACCCTGCTTTTACTTTTCCTGCCCCCTTCCCATGTAGCTTCAGTATTTGAACTTCTTGGGCCAACTTCTGTAGTATTTGTTTATCATACCCTTTCAGGTTTGACCTTGACAAGGTTGCTAGGTCCAAGAGTATCACCACATGTCTCATCAGCGATGCTGGCAGGACACAGATTGCTGCAGGTTCCAAGACAGTGCTGGCCCTGGGACCAGGTGAGTTTCTTGGTTTGAGTTATAATAGATGTCGGTTCATATTATGGGGCTAGGTGAGTCTCTTTGGTTAGAGTTGTAATAGTTGTCAAATCATATTATGGGACCAGGTGAGTCTCTTGGTTTGAGTTTTTTAATAGTTGTCAGTTCACGCTCTGGGACCAGTTGAGTTAGGATATATGTCAGTTCACGCTCTGGGACCAGGTGAGTTAGGATATATGTCAGTTCACGCTCTGGTACCAGGTGAGTTATGATATATGTCAGTTCACACTCTGGGACCAGGTGAGTTATGATATATGTCAGTTCACGCTCTGGGACCAGTTGAGTTATGATATATGTCAGTTCACGCTCTGGGACCAGGTGAGTTATATGTCAGTTCACGCTCTGGGACCAGGTGAGTTATGATATATGTCAGTTCATGCTCTGGGACCAGTTGAGTTATGATATATGTCAGTTCCCGCTCTGGGACCAGGTGAGTTATGATATATGTCAGTTCACACTGTGCTCCTAGACAGTACTGGAGGTTTCTTGGTTTCACTTGTCATAAGTGAGGTCAAGCTGTGAGCTGTGACACTACCAAGTAACAATAGGTTTGTATGATTGACACTAGCTAGGTTGATAAGTTGGTAGCCAGTCATGATGTACAGAAGCCCAGAAGGGAATCATAGACAATCAGTTGATTAGGGAACATTGATATGGAACCTGCAGAGATATAGTTTTATAGATGAATGATGAGAACATCATGGGCAGTCAGTTGGTTGGGGAACATTGATATGGAACCTGCAGAGATGTCATTTTATAGATGAATGATGAGAACATCATGGGCAGTCAGTTGGTTGGGGAACATTGATATGGAACATGCAGAGATGTAGTTTTAAAGATGAATTATGACCTGTGTATGATGGCAGGGTATGCCATCCCTTCTGTATATTTGAATGTCCTGGATTTGTTGCTGTAGATCTTTGAGTCACTTAATCTCAAACCTGTGGGTTTCAGTCATGGAGGAAGAATACAGAAAACAGCAACAGCTGATACTGATCAGGTTGTTATTTTTTCTTTCAGGGCCTGCCAGTGTCATCGACCAGATTACCGGACACCTCAAACTGTTGTAATGTTTGTTGTTGTTGTGTTTATGCTGTTATTATTCATAATGGATATCCTAGCGGTTGCTGTGAAAGCCAGTCAGTCTTGTTTTGTTGACTCTCCGTTGCTGCCAGTGACTGCTGTGACTTGTTTGGTTTCATGAATGTGATGACTGTTTTGGTCAGCGGTCACTTTCATTGCACTTAGATATCACATGAAGTTCTCAGTATTCTGCCATAGGTCACACGGGGAGAATCTCTGCTCAGTGCACAAACACTGTAGCAGTGGTAAGGATCATGATATCTGCATGCAAGAGTAGCCTAGTTTGTTGTCACTTTTGTGGGTTGGTTTTGGGAAATTTAGAATGGGCAGTGGCTCATTTTTTTTTCAAACTGCTGAAGGATTTTTAACAAGCATAACTGCATGTCACACACAACGTAAAAATCACACACAACGTACACTTAACACACAGTATGAACGCCACTAGCATTCTTCTTTTATCCACAAACACATTAGTAGGCAGATCTGTTAACATCATCTTCCTCTGTATTAACTGACTGCCACCCCCAGAGGAAACTGTCCAGTGACCCACGTTTAAACTTTGGTCTTGTTCTGGGGTTGGAGTGTTGCCTGCACATACAATATTACAGATCTGTGTTTCATTGAATGCAGACTGTTGGTTCCTAGCCTGTTAGAGATGTTAGCTCCAGCTGTGAAGGAAATGTTGAAACTTTCGTACTGGCCAGGTCTCTGGTAGAGACACTGTCTCTAGGGTGTCCACCGAGAGCTGTAGACAGGTGGAGACCCGCTGGAGTCATGGTCAAACTGTGCAGGTGGTGACCCACTGGAGCCCAGGTCCTGGTCATACAGTGCAGGTGGTGACCCACTGGAGCCCAGGTCCTGGTCATACAGTGCAGATGGTGACCAGTTGGAGCCCAGGTCCTGGTCATACAGTGCAGGTGGTGACCTGCTGGAGCCCAGGTCCTGGTCATACAGTGCATGTGGTGACCCGCTGGAGGCCAGGTCCTGGTCAGACTGTGCAGGTGGTGACCAGTTGGAGCCCAGGTCCTGGTCAGACAGCTGAGGTGGTGACCCGCTGGAGCCCAGGTCCTGGTCAGACAATGTGGGTGGTTCACCTCTACTGACCATTGACACAATAAACACACCTGCTGTACCATAAATGGAGCAGACAACTGTAGCTAGGGTGGAATCTGTGATTCAAATAAAGAATTCTCTCGCTCTCTCTCTTTCTCTCTCTCTCTTTCTCTCTCTCTCTTTCTGTGTGTGTGTGTGTCACGCATAACAATGAATGAAGTGGGTAAGAAATGAGAGACACATAGCACATTATTTTTACAACCACATGTAATGCAGCTCTTGAAGACATGCAACAGTAATACAGTGTTTGAAATCTGGTTATGGAGTTTGTGTGATTTGTTGTAGAGTCTGTTGCTGAGTTTGATGTCATTAAGTCTTTTATATAGAAGATACTATAAGATTGGGCTCATTCTCCTTATCCTGGTACCATGCTGTTGTATAACTTTGCCTACTCCAGCCTGTACTACTGCTGTCCACCTAGAGCTAGACCTGCGACTGAGACATTAACATTGCCCAATGGGAACTGCTGCTACGACTAGGACACTATACAGTATCGTCTCTTGAATAATACTGTGACTGAAACGCTGCCCCATCTAACAGAAGTGAGACGCTATGAGTCTAATTATAATTATTGCCATCGCCGACACTTCTTGTACGAATCAGAGTTAATGTTGTGACTGAGGCTACATAATTTACTCACAACTAATGCTATGACTGAGAAGTTACACACACTGACCAGAACTAATACTATGACTGAGACATTACACACTCACCAGAACTAATGCTATGACTGAGACATTATAAACTAACCAGAACTAATGCTATTACCGAGACATTATAAACTAACCAGAACTAATGCCATGACCGAGATACTTTAAACTAACCAGAACTAATGCCATGACCGAGACATTATAAACTAACCAGAACTAATGCCATGACTGAGACATTACACACTCACCAGAACTAATGATATGACTGAGACATTATAAACTAACCAGAACTAATGCCATGACTGAGACATTATAAACTAACCAGAACTAATGCCATGACTGAGACATTATAAACTAACCAGAACTAATGCCACAACTGAGACATTATAAACGAACCAGAACTAATGCCAATGCCATGACCGAGACATAATAAACTAACCAGAACTAATGCCAATGCCATGACCGAGACATTATAAACTAACCAGAACTAATGCTATGACCGAGACATTATAAACTAACCAGAACTAATGCCATGACTGAAACATTATAAACTAACCAGAACTAATGCTATGACCGAGACATTATAAACTAACCGGAACTAATGCTATGACCGAGACATTATAAACTAACCAGAACTAATGCCACAACTGAGACATTATAAACTAACCAGAACTAATGCCATAACCAAGACACTACACAAACTTACCAGAACTGACCATGTGACCAAGACGTGGAAACTAATCTAAGTTAATGCTGTTGTAACACTGTTGGATGATACACCACAGACAATACGTTAACAGAGAGACACAGCACAAGGCAATCAGTTTGTTGCATATCCTTTGCAGGACCAGCCTCAGCATTTTTTGGGTGTTGTGATTTTTCTAGACAAGTTTATGACCAGTAATTCGCTATTGCTTTCTGGACGTTCGGCTTCTCGATACCCCTGTCGAACCCAGTGCAGGGTCCAAAGCTGAGATCGCACCCCGGCATTACGAAGCGCATTCGCAATGCGCCTAAGTCACAGACACCGACAGGCAATCAGCGTAAAAACCGAGGCACTGCACGAAATGATTGATACTTGTCTGTGTGTGACGAAGATGGCATGAGTGGAACCAGATGTCGTCTTCGATGTTTGTATGAGTTTCTGCGGCAGTTATTTGATCGCTGCGCATGTTTTTTCCACCGGCTGCATAATGCTGAACTCGAAGTTTTTGAATTGTGGTTGTTAGTACAGGAAACAAACGACATCGATCGCCATGATGTTGCCGGGTCACTTCCTGAAATGGAGGTCTTTGATGGTGATCTTGATGAAGAAGACGATGATGATGGCGAGGCAGCTCTGCAGTAAGCTATTGGACGTCTGCGGGCACTGAGGAATATTAGTTACTGAATTATGCACCAATTTCATTAGAATGCAAGACAAATAAGTAATTTGCAATACCACTAATAATTATGTGAATCAGCTTAAGAAACATGCAGCAATTCTTCCAACCATTGTTGTTTGTGAATACTGATAGCTCTTGCATGTAGGGTTGGTGCAGCGTTTTCTCATACCCCAAGTACGCTTGTGCCATCTCTACAGTGACTAGGTTGCATAGGCTCACCTTTCCCTCTCCAGTATCGTTAACTAGTGGGTGGGGTGTGCGAGACTGGTTTAATGTTTTCACTTCTGCAAAGAGATTGATTAATCTGGTAGATACTAGTTTGATAAGACCAACAGCTTTCATTATATCCCCCCACCCACCCAAACAATCTTCTTCTTCATAAATACTTGCTACCTTGTTATTCTTCTTCTGTCCAAATGACACGGTGAACCAGTTCGACGTCTGATGGAGAGGCAACTGGCACTTCGGTAGCTAGCAGCAGAAATGGCAGTCTGACGTCTGCTAAAACTGTGATGAGTCGGTGATCTACTTTGAGAATGAGGTTCAGTACCGGTAGGGCGGGAACACTGACTGCTTGAAGTCGATGACCTGTAGATTCTGTGTATAAATTAAAAGACAAAATTAGGATCATTAAATCCACGGCCAGCTTCAGATTTATACTGGAGCTGGCCGTGATTAAATCACAGCAAAAAACTGTTAGACAACGGGGTGTTCCAAGGGTCAACAACATGTCGTCAACCATGTGTTGCTGAGGCTAATTATGGAAGGTAGGAATAGTAGCATTGCCAGATTGGAATCACATTTGAATAATTAAGGGGGGGGGGGGCGCATTTCTAAGGAATGGGAACTATGCTGCAGAGCTCTCTTTCCCTTCACCAGAAACTAACAGGTCTTGCATGGCCGTCACTAAAGCTTCCAATCTGAGGGAACGTATATTACAGTGCAAGCAGGATCAATATTTCTACGAACTGAGTGAGATTAGAATGTTTACAGGTCAAGATTCCCACGGACTGGGTGGGATTAGAATGTGACCAGGTCAAGATTCCCACGGACTGGGTGGGATTAGAATGTGACCAGGTCAAGATCCCCACGGACTGGGTGGGATTAGAATGTGACCAGGAGAAGATTCCCACGGACTGGGTGGGATTAGAATGTGGCCAGGTCAAGATCCCCACGGACTGGGTGGGATTAGAATGTGGCCAGGTCAAGATTCCCACGGACTGGGTGGGATTAGAATGTGACCAGGTCAAGATCCCCACGGACTGGGTGGGATTAGAATGTGGCCAGGTCAAGATTCCCACGGACTGGGTGGGATTAGAATGTGGCCAGGTCAAGATTCCCACGGACTGGGTGGGATTAGAATGTGGCCAGGTCAAGATTCCCACGGACTGGGTGAGATTATAATGCGACCAGGTCAAGATTCCCACGGACTGTGTGGGATTAGAATGTGACCAGGTCAAGATTCCCACGGACTGGGTGGGATTTGAATGTGACAAAGTAAAGATTCCTAACGGCTGACTAGGGTTAGGTCTAGGTAATGTTTTATCCTTGAGTTTTAGGTGTATCAGTGCCAATAACAGCAGCCCTGGTTATGTTTCGATATCATAGAACACCGGACAAACCTTTAGGTGCTCTGTCTCCAGCAGCAAATGTCTTCAGGCGTAGATGCTAAGTGTTCCTGTAGCACACTGACTACAACACACAAACCGGTCTCTTTGTCTCATACGTCCATACTTGCCAGATCCACGTCTAATTCTGCTGTTTGAAAAAAAAAAAGAAAAAGCTCGACCACGTTCAGACTGCTGCTAGCTAGCCTAGGCTGCTAACAGTCTCCGCCTA